TGCCTGCCGGCGAGCAGAGTATGGCAGAGGGGAGAGCTGGGCCCCTGAAAGCCCCGGGGCGCAGGAGGTCTCGGGCTGTGAGGCTGTGTCCAGCTGGAGCTGCTGTCCCAACCGCGTTGCCAAATGTCCCTTTGCTGGCCGACACCGCGCGGTGTCCAGCGGGACAGCGCAGGGTGGGCGATGGGCGAGCGCGGGAGTGACAGCCTCAGACCACGGCCCCGGCCGAGCGGCTCTACCCCCTGGGACCGGAACCATCCGTGGCTGCCTGCCCGGCCCGGCGTGGCACAGAGCCGGCCCAGGGCTTCTCCTCACTGACTCGGATGGTGCTTCACTGCCCTCCGAGAGAGTGGTGTGTGTGTAGTTGGGGACAGCACCCCAGGGCTTTTGGGCTGTGCTGAAAGTGGCGTGGTCACTCGCACGGCCTTAGCAAGGGCAGCAGGGAGCCTGTCGGCTGCCATTTCATGGCACCAGCAGCTACACCAAGACCTCCCGTGTTTATCCTACCGTCTCAGCTTGCGCCCGTTTCTCTCAGCACTGGCTCCCCATTAGCCTGGTCTATGCATATCTTTCCTCCCGCCGTGCCGAGCCTGGGCGGAGACGGGCTTCACCCGTGCTGCGGGACACCTTGGCAGGGCTGGTGCCCACAGCAGATTTCTTGCTCTGGCATGTCATAGCTGATTTCCCAGGTACTGCTAGGACGCAGCCCAGAACCTATGGCTCAGCTGTCAGCAAAGGTTTTAAATGCCGGCACCACCCTTCCCTGTCACCCGTTGCAGGAAGGAGTGAGTGGCTTTGTATTTCAGGTGCATGGGGAAAACAAATTCGGTGGCAGACCGGCTGCCCAGGCTGCTAGGCGTGCCCGCAGGAAGCGAGCAGCACCCACGTCCCGCCTGGAAAGCCCAGGAGACCAATTTAGCAGCCGTGCTGTCCCAGGCGTCCCCTCTCCACCGTGGGCGCAATGGCCGGGGAGCTGCTGCGCACAAAACCTTCTCCTGCTCTCTGCCAACAAGGGAAGGATAACTGGATGGGAATTCTAATCATATATTATATTACCGTGTCATATTAGACTAATAAAATCCTAATATGATACAGGAATGGGGAGCATATCATAACTCCTCTGTGGCTAATACAATGCATGCAATAAATCACTCCCAGGGCTTATCCTTAACAATTGTATCAGTGCTTTCTGTGTCACGCTGATAACTCAGTCCCTCTGATCTAATGGTTCACTTTTCTTCACAGTCCATATGGTAGTGACATTAAAGCTAATGAAATAAAATAAAATTTGCCAATCTTTGAAGAATTCCATTCTTTAAAAAGATGTATTTTATTAACACAAACTGGAAACATCTTCAGTTACTCGGAGTTATTTTTACCACATTGGAAATACATGGCACAGGTATTGGCATCAGCATCTTACATCCAACTCGTGTGGTCTTTGCAAAAGACATCGCTACAGGATAACACCGCGTTGTTCAGCCTAGCACATTTAATGCCACGTTCGCATCGTCAGCAGAGCTGCCCCCATTGAACCAGTCCCACGGGGCATGGATTTTGCTGTGCCAGAAGGTCGCAATCTCCCCGACTCTTCCCTTCCTGGGCTGAGGATCCCTCGTTGCATTCAAGGCCAGATACACAGGGAGCCGGGAGCTTGGCGTCTGAATGCCAGGGAGAGGAGATCATCGCTTGCTTCGCTTTTGGCACATGAAGGTTTGCTTTTCTTCGTGGGGCTGTGAGAGGGCTGCAGAGGCGGCTCCCGTAGCTCTGGGAGTAGCAAACCTGGGTACGTCTGCTGGAGCACCAGGCGCTGTTTCTCCCTGGCCGCGGGGCTTCTCACAACCCCTCTTGCAGGACGCCCCGGCCACCGGCAGCTCCTCGGTGCAGTGGCCGTGCCACGGTCTCCCCGGCCCAGGTGCAGAGCGGGTCGGATGGGGTTGGGACTGGTCCCAAAAGTGGCTGGTCTGGCTGTGCACAGGGGATCACCGTGAGTCTCTCCTCCAGACGTCCTCGTGCCTGTCACAGGCCCATGATGCACAGTGCGATGATGACAGCAGCACGCGCCTTCGTCAGGACGGTGCCGGGCACAGCAGACAGCGATTCCTGCGACCTGCTGCAAATCCCCCCGGCCATTCCCGCTGTGCTC